AAAAATAGGTTTCTAAATTGTCCTCTAATGATTTCATACAGTATAGTTTACATTTGAACCTTCTGTTTCTTTAGAATTCATTGTTCTGTGATTTCAGTGGCCTAATTTATTCTCTTTGCAACTGTCTTCCCCAGTTATGTCATGCTACTTCAGTAAATATTCATTTTTCTATTCAATTGAATCTTAGGTCATTATAATCTCCCACAAAAATTTGAATCATTTCTGGATTGTGAATCTCACTTTTGAAAATAAAATCTAACTTGGTTCTGGTTTAATTTTTCCTGCTTGTGATTTACAGGGGGCTCCTCTGTAACATTTACTGGAAATAGCTTTGTGAAATACCGTCTGATGGAAAATGAGAACAAATTAGAGCTGAAATTGGCAATGCGGCTCCGAACCCACTCTGCTCACGCTGTCGTGATGTATGCTCGGGGAACGGACTACAGCATCCTGGAGGTAGGGACCGTATAGTTTTGGACGTCAGATCATGGAAAACTTTTAAAAGATAAAGTTCATTTCATTTTATGTTCATATTGCCTGTTTGTTTTGTTTTTTTAAGTAAGCAAAGTGGTTGCATTCCATATTTAAGTAGTTTATTGATACCTCCATGCTTTTTGATATTATAAGCATAGCCAGTTCTTTTTGCTGTGCCGTACCTCAGATTCACATCTGATTTTTCACATTGTTTCACTCACTGGTTATTAACGTTGAAACCCAGAGTGATATAACATTTTACTGATGTTATAGAGTTTCCTAGAATGCTTCACGTGATAATTATTTCACCTACCTTTTAAAATATGATTCAGGTTTGACTTCTTAGATTATCTGAAGTTTTGGGGTTGGTTTTTGTGGGGTTTTTTTTGTTTTTGTTTCTCCCTCTTTTCCAGTAACAGTTTTAATTATTAGTCTTTTTATGGTGCATATTGGATGTTCAGTTCACACTTAAATTCGATATCCCTAACAGATCTACTTCTATTATATTTGGAGCAGACAGATGAACATGTGTTGTGTGTGTTAGTCTGGGTACTTTAGAGAAACAAATCCACAGAAACTCATGTGTAAGAGTTTTATGTAAGGTGCACATCAAGAAAACATCCCAACCCAAGCCCACAAGTCCAACATTAACCCATATGTCCGACACCAATCCACAAAGTCCTCCTCCATCTCACAAAACACACACAATGACGCTGACTGCGGGAGGAAAGCCGAGTCAGTGAACGTGTTAAGCATGTCAGCGATGGCAGAGGTCTCCACACGGGTGCTCCAGCACCCAGGGCTGCATCGGGGCAGGTCCATGTGGCTTCTCCTCAGGGATGTCTTGCAGGAAGTGAGCCTTGCCAGCT